CTTATTAAGCATGTAAATTTTGCAGAAAAGCTAACCATAGGTTTTACTTGTGAGCTGTGATGTCCAGAAATAGATAGATGTCATTTATTTCAGCGAATCGTGTAATGGCCGAGGTCTTACCCATCCTTGCATTCGGGCGTGACTTCTCCAAAGTTAGTTTTCATTGTATTTGGGGTATTTAAAGCCAGGGTGTATTCGATTTGTCTGTAACATTAACTCTTGCTAGATTTTGCATACTTTATTTGATTTGTTTAACTTGTAGAGCTTTACTTAATCTTGTTTTAGCTTACGTGGGTGAGGGTGGAGGATCACGTCGTATTTGTGAGAGAGAACCATTAGTTTTATGTTCACATCCTTTCTTTTGCGGTCCAACACTCCCACTAAAAAGAATTTCATTTGTTGCGTATTTTGTTTGTCTCCTAGTGTTTTTGTTAATAAATATTGTTGTTTTTGTGTATTGATACGAACTCGGCAGTGGAACTTGGGAAGCAACAAACCCAAACTTTGCAACACAGTACTCATCGGTTCTCCTGTAAAGAGATTTGTCCCGCAGGAAATTCTTGTACCATAAAACACCACAAAATAGTGTAAAATAAAAATACTGAAATATAGTTATCATTTCCTTCTTTTATTTTCAGTCATTAATACTACCACAATCCAGTGGTGAACGAAGGTTACTTGTCTATGGGGATAATGTCATTCAACACAAAATGAACGTTGTTGTGGTGAGAAATGTTTTATTCTTTCATGACTGTTTGTAGATTTTACCTCTGAAAAAAGAAACTTTTATTTAATATTGCACAAATAGAATGAGCCCACGTTAGCAATAGTTGTCTCCTGATGAGTCAGTGGTAAATTTACGGACTTACAACGCTAAAATCCGACGTTCGATTCCTGCACTGGACAAAGTGTAGATAGCCCATTGTGTAGCTTTGCACTTAGGAAAAAAAGATCAAACGACGGGTAAATTTTCAGTGTTTTGTATTTGGAAGGAAAATTTCATTCATGGATGTGTTTTATTAAAGTACAAGCTGAGGTACCCGTCCTTTGCCCGGGTTATGAACTTTGAAAAAAACGTGGGGATGGATGCATTGATAAATAACACCAAATCCTAACTTTCAAACAATTTATTTATAACATAACATATTATTACGGTATTCATTATTACCTCATCAAAAGTTTAGTATAAGGTTTCAGAACTCAATATGTGTATACTTAGAACATGATATATAGTGTGTAGGAAGAGGTAGCGAAAAACGTAGTGGCGGTAGGGGTGCTTTCTGTTACCCGCTTTCAACATCCACATCTTTATGTCCTTACACACTGTTTCACGTTATTAATTAATTGACAGTCATTGCCCACAGAAGCGTCTTATGGGATGAAGTTTTAAGGTCACGGGTCAAAGTCGGAAATGGGTATAACTCAATAAACGGCTCTTCATATCAGCGTTATGGTGGCTATTGTCGTATCAACTTCATCTGAGTGTATGTATTATTGCAATAGTGGTGGCTATATTGTTTTTCATTGCATTCCTCTCTAGCACACTCTGAGATATACAAGACGTTTTTTGTGCCCTCTCCCACGCTGTGTATATGTTGTGTTATAGAAAGTTTAATGTGTGTGTGTGTTTTCTTGTAGCAAAGCCACATCGAGCTATCTGTTGTGTTCACCGAGAGGAACCGAACCCCTGATTTTAGCGTTGTAAATCCGAAGACTACTATTTGCCTACCGGGGAACGGAAAATTTAATAAAATATTTTTGTTTAGTGTAAAAACGTGGCGCTATATATATGAATGTAGCTAACGTTAACTTACGTCAAAGATAATAAATGCTCAATAACATTAATAATGGGGGTGGAGGGGTTGGGAATCCCCCATACAGACACACAGATGTTTGTGCTTTATATATCTAAGATAAATTAAGCTCAACTCAAAAGCCCCCCAAAATAAATCAAGTTTCGATAAATAATTTACGAGCGAAAAATCACTAAACAGTGAATGAAAATCGCCATGTTTGTGTAGTGTTATTTTTATTTGAAAATGTTGTTTTTTCTGCCTGGCCATTGCATAACGTTTCATTACACAGTTTGTGTCGTCATTGGTGATATATGTTATGCATTATTCCTTCATAAGGAAGTTAACATTGGTTACGTTTACCCAGTCCTGTGTTTTTCTCTGTAAACATAGAAAAAAAAAACTTTATTTGATAAATTTAATTTTTTTGGGGTGGGTCTGTTTGTAATGCATAAATAAATTAGTTCATAGTCAAATTAAATGTTCTCTAGTGCGTAGTCCTAATAAGGTTGACTCAATTGTTGTGTTTCAGGCCAACGGATTAGATAAAGGGTTTCGTCTACAAGAACCGTTTTTTACGAACTTCACAATGGTGCTTTTATTCAAATGGTTTCTCCCAGTGCATAGAAATTCCGAGTAAGTTATTATAATATTTTTATCGAATTAAGAGCAATATAATATATTATATATATATATACACACACACATTGTAAAATAAATACAAAATTTTTATCCTTGCTGAACAAACATGCACCTTACAGGAAAGTTTTATAACTACTTCATAAAAAATTTAAAAAATATTGATTAGGTAAATTAGTTAAAGCTTAAGTGTTAAAACGAATTTAAAATAGAAAACAAATGTAAAAAGGTTCTCCGGTGGGTCAGAAGTAAGTTTACGGACTTTCAGCGCTAAAATCCGGTGTTCAATTATCCGCAGTGGACAAAACTAAGATAGCTCATTGTGAGGCTTTGAGCTAAAACAAACAAACTTGTAAAAAGAAATTCACGCAGTGCCACCTATCGGCCTACCTAGACACAGTCGTTATTTAGCGCAGCATCACTCACTTTGATATGTCCGTAAAGTCTCAGTGATGCAATCACATACCACATACAAGTGAAATTCCCAGAATTCTTCACAATAAATGTATTGACTCTGCTGTAACCCCAAACAAAGTGAAAGATCAAATTAGTTATAATTTATTTGAAATCAGTAGCTTAAAATTAACTGTTTGTTGATATACAAAGGCTGGGTTTAAAAATCTATATAAATAACACACTAGCGTTTTTCTCTCCGGAACTTTTCTCGCAAATTTCTCGATCAAAAGCTACAAATGCCATATCGTTAGAAAGGCCTTTGTCCGTGGAGTCCGGATTGCATATTGGCTTTTCAATTCTGAATAATCTCACTTGCTTTTCGCTTAGTCAATTTTTTTCAATGCAGCTAGTATGGTACAAGATGGCACAATGTCGTTGTTATCACATGATGACAATTTCAAGAGCTTTCTCGACTTATGTAGGTCTAAAATACGCACGAGCAGTTCGTTCAAATTCATATGCATATCACTTTGTGAATGTGCATTCACAAGTTTCTGCATATTCAGCTAAGTTTGCCTTTACTTTGCAATAATTTAGTTTCAGTTCATTTCATAGACTGCTATAAACATCTTTTAGCTTCTTGTTTTATGTACTATGTGTTTTATTATTCGTTTTTGTGAGTTTCTTTCTTTCAGTTCTTAAAACCCCATCATACACTGAACGCTCATAACTGTTTCATACTCTGTACGCTATTATAAATACCATTACTTACTTTATCAGTGGTGTAGGAATAAGTTGCAAAGTGGGGGTGCTTGGCTAGACATTCAGATTTTACAATGAGAGATTGATGTAGAAGGAGCTGCTAAAAGCATCTTCCTTCTGCCAAAGGCAGCTAAATCTAGGGGTATGGGGAAATGCCCCCAGAAAATTCATATAATAATATAATTTACGGTTGCTATACAAGTCAAATATGTTACGACGCCTCTGTTTATTGTTTACTTTACGTGTAATTTTATTAAATAAAATTATGTCTACGTGAGTTTGTTTGCTGTCTGACTGCGTAAAAATTTTCAAATTGACAAGAATTTATCAATCTAACAGATATTGCCTGCAAGAAAGCGTAGCTCAAATGGCGTGCGTGAAAATGATATAATAAGGAAAATTCAAGCGAAGGGCATGAAAATGATGACAAATGTTTTGCGGCTATTAAAATCAACAAACGCTCGATTCTTAAATCGCTGTTAAGCTAAAAGCAATACAATGGGCCATCTGTGCTGCGACACCGCGGATATCGAAACCCGGTTTGTAGAGTTATAATCCCCCAGACTTGCCACCGGGGAGATTTCCATGAGATGTCTGTGATAGGGTTAACACTTGGCAACATGACCTTTCCTAGAAAATGTCCACGAAATTATTCATGTTAGGTTTAAACTAGATAAATTTGGGTTAACTACTAATTACACAGGCCTGCGAATTTTAACTTCATAAAAGTTACTTTAGTTTTAATAATGAATTTCCCATAATTCAACTACGCAGGTTTCGAAAACAATATTCATTTTTTTTTCTATTACGTAAGGATTTTTTACAAATCGGGAAGAAAAAAGAACTCTAACGTAGATCAAATTATTATTTCATTTACCACAATGAACATTTTTTATTGATATGTTTGGGTTCTAGAACGATCGATAAGACTCTCACGTCGCGATTAGTTTAGAGAAATCTATAGCCAGTGGTTGTCAACATTTTAAGCATAAGAAAATGTGACCCGATTTCAATGAAAATGATTCACTTATGTAAAGGAATATATGACGTTTTGTGAAAAATCTGTACGTGATGGAGAAAAATGGATGTCATTTTCGGATTCAGCGTACAAGAATTACTGTAAAACATGTAAAAAGTTCAAGACAAAAAATCATCGCAGGCCTATGTAATAAGTGTTCATTCTACCCTAAGAACGATAGTGTCCGTCATGCCATGTACGAATGTATTACAGCTGCTGCCATGGGAAGTAGGTTTGCTGACATCTTTAACTTGAAGTATATCCTCACACCGCTCATCCAGTTTCTTTAAGTAACCCCCTCTTATTTTCTATACTTACTGGGAGAATTTAAGGCCTGGTATAGGAGAATCTTCTAACCATCTTGCGATGGTTTATCAGACATCCTAAGAAAGATTAGGTGCGCTGTCAGAGAAAAGATCAGATTTTTGGCCGTAAGGGTAAAGGTTTTGATCAAATGAGTTATGTTCAGCAGTACATTAATTGCTTCATGCCATTGCCTTCTAAGTATTAGCAGGCCTGGTACTAAGCGCTGACTCGTAGCTGTGACGTCACAGGTAGGAGATCAGCTGCAGCTCATTCGCTGGAAGTTTGAATGTTCATTAGAATGATGTTGACACTTGGAGTAGAAAATAGTAAGAGTTGTGCAGTTTTATATAATAAAGGTAAGTACGACAGTGTTAGTATCTTAGGTTATGTAGACTGTAATATAGAGATATGTTATTCATTAAATCATATTAAAAGTTTACTGGTAGACAAACATAAAATGTCTACTTTAAAGCTATATTTTATGGAATAGGCCTATCGTCAAAACAACATCACTTTAGGCCTAGGCCTACGTGTAATATCAGACTATGACTGTCACGGGACCCTATACTGTTTTATAACACTACACCTAAGCCTTTCCCTATTAAACCCTAGGCTTATACACTATATAACAATAGTATGGTGGTAGTGTGGTTCAAAAACTATAAGGGAACCAAAATAGGCTTGTAAGAGACCATATTGATACTGGCTAGTAGGTCACACTGTAGTAGTTGTCGTGAAGCTTAGGAAGTAATGAGTATTCCAGTAGCTACTAGCTGGGCCTTTTTTAGGTTTAGTGGGGCCGGTATGTATACTGTACAACAATGGTTTTGACTGGCAATGAATAGCTAATGTGTCATGAGACTATAGTTGTCGGTTCACAGTACAACTGACGCCTGGGGTAGCTGCAATACACGTAAATAAAATTTCATAACTTTTGTCTCTTAATTTTTCTATTTTAAATAAATTATAAATTACAAGAAGTAACCAATGCAACCTTTAAAATTTTTGATTTTAGAAAATGACGCGGAAGTGCTATGTACCGGAATGTACATCAGACGACAGGGGACAGGAATATACAACTTTCTTTCGTTTTCCGGAAAACACTGAGAATCGAGCAAAATGGTTACATTGCTTACTAAGAAACAATTTCACACTCACTTGCTGTGGTCTACATTGCATTAAACATTTCGTCTCGGAATACTTTGTGACTGAAGACGTGCACATAGATCTGTAATTTGTGATCCACGCAAAGCTTCAAAGCTTCCTTTAGTCTCTCTAAACCTACCCACATATCAGTCACCAAAGAAAAGACAAGTAAATTTAGACAATCTGGACGAGCAAGTCATCATTTTTCGCTGTCTTTGTGGAGAGATTGACAATCTTGTTGGAGTCGAGTCTGGTTGATTGATGTTAAAGTCTGACATTTCTATATGTTGCTGCATTATTGGCACTACAGAATGTTCAAAGGTAATAGTTTATGCAAAAATTATCTCATATTTGAATGTTGAAGTGTTTTGTGAAAGGACGTATATAGTGCTAGTCTGCTATGAATACTTTCTTCTGGTAATAGGTTAGACCCTTGGTCAAAGCTTGGCAATATTCTTAGCCATTATAAAAATATTGATGGAAATGCACTAGTAAATGAGATGTCTCAGACAGTTGGTTTGTTGCAAGAATTGATTGATACTGCTGATTTGAGATGATATGGATGAAAAGCATGTGTTTATATTGCATTTCTGGCTGGAACAGTTGAAGCTTAGAGTTCTGTTTCGTAATATTCAGAGTGTAGAAATGCTACTGTTGTTTTGTCAACTATTTTTGGTGTCATCAAAAGCATTCTGTTTCCTTCGTAAAAGTGCACTAACTAACGAATCATACCTTAGGCGGCTAACTTTGTGCTTGTCGTTATCATTCAGATTCGAACCCAACGCAAATTCACATCTGGCTTGCTTGAAAAACTAAACTAAACATTTAGAGCTCCATCAAAAAATAGTTTCTCTGTTGCTTGATGAGATTCGTGCACAACTAAATGCTAGCTTCAACAGTGTCAATATCTAAGGAATTGCGAGCAACAGTCCATTGTAACAAGCTACAACAGTGCAGGCATTTATGACTTCTATAGTTTTTTTCAAAGAACAAAGATGTGGTTGCTCTCATTCCTGTTGTAAATTCAAATGCAGCAAATATGAAAGATATTGCTGTAAAAGTGTTATATCTTCAGCACAGTGTAGGACACAGAATATTGTGCATAATATCTGATAACAACAGAATATATCGAAACATGTTTGCCACGTTTAGTGGCAGAGATCTGAAACCTTCAGTTATACACCCTCTTGTTTCAAGCCTGATCTTGTTGGGTTTTTTTTCTTTTTTTGCTAGCGTTCATTTGCTAAAATTTGTCCGAATGTGTATAATATTTCGGTTAAACAAATCATGGAGTCTGAGAAACAACTATAATCTGCCAGATGTGGTGATTTTAGCTTACTCCATTATGATATCATGACAAAGAGTGTGG